ATCACTGAAGCTCGCGTTACGGCGATGGATCTAAAATTTATATAAGTGATCAAGTGTAAAGGGGTAAAATAAGTGATTCTCCGTGAACCTGGTTATAAGGGTGGCACACAAAACACTAAAATTGTCTAAGGACACATACAAACATAACCTATGTGGATAGAGATATTTGCAGGGGAACAAGGACATCAGCTCACTGAATGGGGGGGGGGGGGGATCGAGCTCTGTACGTGCAAAAGTTAATCTATTGATGCAGGCTGTGGTGACAGTGGCTAGGCTAATAATATAGGGTTGCCATAATAACCAGATAAGAAGAAACCAAGAAAGAGGAAACAGAGCCTGTTATATCAATATCTGCACATTGACTATACTAAATAAAGTAGTCCGAAGTGTCCATCAGGGCCGTCAGTAAATTTGAGAAGGCGGATAAAGCTGGTTGGAGAATATTCAAACTGGGTTAGAGTCCCAGCATGGTGGGTTAGAGTCCCGCCGTGGTGTCCTTGGTGTGGCAACCCCACTATTCGCTGACGGGTGAATAGAAACAGTCCCAGTGAGTTGAGTCCCGGGGAATTCAGGACCCCCAAATTCTACTAGAGTGTATGTCTGGGTTAGAGTCCCTGCAGAAAATGAGTTAGAGGCCCGGGGACTGGGATCCCCGAATTCTAGAAAATAAGTGTAATTGTGTTGCTGTGTACTGTATGTATTGGTGGTGTTTGTTAGTTGGGCATTCTACCCGGAAAAAGCGGTGTAGAAAGTGTGGTTGGGTAAATCCTAGACCAGAGTTTACGGTTTTGTGAAGTGAGACAGCATACAGATAGCAGTGTCAAAGGCAGCTATGAAAAAGGAAAAAGTAAAAGGCAGCGGGGGCGGAAGGCAGACAGGACCAGGTGGCGTTCGAAGCTTGAGTAAGGAGGGAGCAGTTAGAGGAACAAGGGGGAGTAGACTCACCCGGTCAGCAGGCAGGGACCAAAACAGGAAAACAAAAGGAGGGTAAAAAGGTGGAAATGTGGGGTCACGTTACGGGGGTATGGGAGGACGACCCAGAGGACAGGGTCCTCGCAGACCAGTTAGAGGAGCGGATGGCCAGAACAGAGGTGGCACTAAAACGGGAAACCTCACTCTTAGAGGACAGGGTGAGGCCTCTGGGTAGTGATGACGAGGGAGACAGTGAGGGGGCGTGCCATGACAAGGTTTCAAGGCCCCCAAGGCACCAATTCCCTCTGCTGAGAGGGGCGGGAGGACAGTGGATGGATAAGCTAGACCAGCTCACTCAGGGGACAAAATTGGCACTGAGAGATTTCCGGGCAGTGGCAGCCAGATGTCTGACTAAACACTCATTGCTGGAGGTGGAAGATAGGGCAGGGACACTGACGCATTCTGATGACGTTAGCTTGACGACCATAGTACTGCACATTGGGAACGCCATGAGAGAAATGTTTCCTCCTCCAACCAGAGCAGTCATCCCAAAGCTGACATGGGATAAAACCATGCACCCCAGGGAATACCTGGATAAGTGTACGGAGGAGTGGACACGGCGAACCGGGTCTCACCCTGGACAGCAGGGGGTACAGCGAGAATGGTTCCGGCGGGCTGTAATGGAGGGGGTTCCAGAGGGGGTGCGGGCTGCGATCCTGGGCAACCCAGACTTACCAGGTGCGGACTCCCACGTGTGGGATAGGCATGTGATACACCACCTAAAGCGGGCCAAGGACGAGTCATGGAAGGAGGAGAGTGACCTTAAAGAGCTCCAAACCCAATTGCTGAAATTACAGGTGGGGGAGGCTAGGCAGAAGGCCAACGAGAATAAAAAGAGAGTGCAGACTGGGAAGCTGATGGTGGCAGAGGCGACCGCAGGGGGCCCACCCCCACAACCCATGCCAGGCCAGTGGGGAGGGACATATCCCACCCCGCCTTGCCAATACGGCAGGTGGGTTCCCAATTGGGGAGGAGGACGAGGTGGTCTGGGTCGGGTATCGGGGGGCCGAGGTTGGGGAAGGGGCACTCCACAGAGAGGACAGCCGGGGGGAGGTGCCTGCTACTGGTGTGGGAGACTGCCCAAGACTGCCCTGCACCCGGCTCGATAAGGGGCAGAGGCCATGGGGGCCCTACCAGGGGACACATGGTGTCCCACAACCCACAAGCCGCACCCAAAACAGGAGGCTAATACTCGGCTCTGGATGGCGGGGCGTGGGAAGACTTCCCCCCCCACAATGACAGGAGAGGACCGGGACAGAGGAGAGGCTGACCCTATGCTGTACCTCGTGGTCATGGACAAAGAACTGCCATTTCTGGTGGACACTGGGGCCACATATTCCACTCTGAACATGGTTCCAAAGGACAGTCAGGTGTCCACCTCCACAGTGACCGTGGTGGGTTTCTCCGGGGTGGAACAGAAACTGCCAGAGTCGAAACCAGGTATCGATTGGAAAACAGACCTTCCTGCATCCGTTCGTGATCTCGCCCACGGTCCCAGTCAACCTGTTGGGGAGAGACGTCCTGGTGAAGCTGGGGGCCTCCATACTGTGTAGCGCGGATGGCCTGGTGGTGACACTGCCGAAAGGCACCCAGCTGCGGTGCGGGACTCAATACCAGGGCCTGCTGGAGCCTGGCCCCGGGGCCTCCTCGAGGCCTACTCGATGTGGAGACTCTGGATCTCACTCCTCGAGCCCTATGTCCCTCTGCCCGATCCACCTCATGTGACTCTGTTCTATGATAGCGATAGTACTGAGTGGTACGAGGAGCTTTTTTCAGAGCAGCTGGAAGGCCATAAATGGCAAGTTTCTTCCCAAAACATCTATGTGGGCCCCGAGGTGGTGGCCTCAGCTACCATCCTCACTCCCGAGCAGCAGCCTTGGTACAGGATGGGTCAGGAGGGGGTTCCCCACATCTCAATCGCACTGCACCCCAAATATCAGGCCAAAGATCTCGACCCCATGGTCAAAAAGGCACAAGAAGCTGAGGACTGGGTGGAGACCCAGATCCCGGCTATCACCTTCTCCCCCACGGGTAATACGTACTGCATTAAAGTGGCGGTCCAAGATGCCGTCACCCTTCAGCATGACCAGATATCACAGGACCATGGGAGGGAAAAAACGTTCACTGCTCCCCCGTCGCATTCAAACTCCGCCCAGGGGAGGGGCCCCTATGGATCAGACCCACAAACCGGCTGCAGAGGAAGGAATAGTAGAGACCATTGAAGGGTTAATCTCGGTTGAGGTGTTGGAACCCTCCTGCTCTGCCTGGAATACGCCCATTCTCCCAGTAGAAAAGGCAGGTACAGGTAAATATCGAATGGCCCATGATCTGCGCTCCATTAACAACCTCCTGCTGACACCGTCCCAGTCCCAAACCTCTATGTGGCCCTCACCAATTTGGCCCCAGAACAAAAGTGGTTCACTTGCATTGACTTAGCCAACGCTTTCTTTTGCCTACCACTGGCTGATCACTGCCGGGACATTTTCTCATTCACCTACAGGGGGTGCCAGTGGAGGTACACTCGTCTCCCTCAGGGCTTTGCCCTGTCTCCGGGGATTTTCAACCAAGTTCTCAAGCAGGCCCTGGAAGGGCGCCCCTTAGCAGATGGGGTCACATTGGTCCAGTACGTAGATGACCTCCTCATTGCCGCACCCTCCCCTGAGTCGGCTCTGGAGGCCACGCGGGCAGTACTGTGCCGTCTGGCAGAGAAGGGGTTCAAGGTTAGCAGGGAGAAACTACAGGTTGCCCGCACGGTCGTTTCATTTCATGGGAGGGTGGTCTCTGGGACAGGGACAGGGCTTTCCCCTGCCCATCCATCTGCCGTCCTGCATCACCCCAAACCAGTTACAGTCAAGGACATGCTGTCATTCCTGGGGCTCACAGGGTACAGCCACATGTACATCCCCGATTACACGGGTCTCACACAGCCACTTTGGGCCCTAGTGAAGGAACATGGGCTGAGACGCCTGACTGCCCCCCTTAATTGGGACACTGCGGCAGAAGAGGCGTTCATCGCTCTAAAGCACAGGTGTCAGACTCCAGTCCTGGAGGGCCAGAGCCCTGCACATTTTTGGGTTTCCCCTCGTTTAACACACCTGATTCAACTTCTTGTGCTAATTACCACATAGCTGTTGAGCTGAATCATTTGTGGTGGAACAGGGAAAGAACTAAGCTACACAGGGCTCCGGCCCCCCAGGACTGCAGTTTGACACCCCTGCTCTAAAGCAATGCCTGGCGCAGGCCGCTGACCTTGCCCTGCCAGACTACTCCCTCCCCTTTCATCTTGATGTTTCTGAAACAGAGACCGTGGCGAACGGCGTTCTGTTTCAGAAAAAAGGGGGAGAGAGGAAGGTACTGATGTATGTCAGCGTAGGCTTAGACATGACAGAGAAACACCACCCAGCATGCACACGGCACGCAGCGGGGGTGGAAAGAATCATTCAAAAGACAGCACACATAGTGATGGGGCTTGAGCTCCACATCCTGACGTCACACAGTGTGGTGGCATATGTGAACTCGCAGACATTCACTATGACGTCCCTCCGGCAACAGAGACTCAGCAAAATATTGGAGGCCCCTCATTTGACATTCGTACACGAGGGGATAAACATGGCGGATCGAATGGGAACGGGGGAGCCTCACGAATGTGAATATAGAGTTCTCAGAGAAGAGAAAGTAAGACCAAATCCGGAGGCAGAGAATATAGAGAGAACGGAGGACTGGTTCACGGATGGATGCTGCTTCAGGCATGAGACAAGGGGTCTGCAGGCAGGATATGCGGTAGTGGTAAGGCAGGGCGATGACTTTGTGACCCTGAAGGCAGAGCGACTAGAAGGACCGCAATCTGCCCAACAGGCTGAGGTGGTAGCTGTGATTGAGGCCCTAAAATTAGGGAAAGGCAAGGATGTGACCATTTACTCTGATTCAGCCTATGCAGTAGGGGCAGTTAATGTGGAATTGAGCCAGTGGTTGAGAGCAGGATTCCTAACGGCAGGAAACAAGCCCATTAAGCACGAAGCTGAGATGAGGGAACTAGCAGAGGCACTACAGCTGCCTAGGACGGTGGCAGTGGTCAAATGCAAGGGCCATGAGGGATCAGGGACCAAGGTGGCAAGAGGAAACCAGGCCGCAGATGAGGAGGCCAAAAGGCTTGCAGGCTATCAAACGGTGAGGCAACTGGTGAGTGTAGAGGAGGAAATCAAGCAAGAACAGGAACTCACCAGAGAGAGGGTAGGACAAGAGCAGGAGAAGGCATCACCAGTGGAGAAGGCGGTGTAGGTGCAGAATGGAGTGCAGAAGGGACAGGGGTTATGGCAGAGCGCGGACGGAAGACTGGCGCTTCCCCCAGGAATCAGGCAGGGTGTGCTGGAGGAGGCACATGGCATAAGACATGTAGGTGCGGGACAGACATTAAAAAACCTGGAGTGGTGGTGGCACCCCTTCCTGAAGGATATGGTTCAGGACTATGTCTGCCAGTGTACCGTGTGCATACTACACAACCCTAGACTAACTGTGAAACCAGACAAGGGAAAGTTTCCGGCTTGTTCGCGGCCAGGACAGCAGATAGTGATACATTACACAGACATGGTAAATCCTGCGTAGGGATATCGGTATGTACTAATGTGCGTAGACGCATTCTTGGGATGGCCAGAAGCGTGGCCCATGAAGAAGGAGGATGGCACATCAGTTATCAAGTTCCTGATAAACCAGTACATCCCACGACATGGGTTTCCGGACAGGGTGCGATCAGACAATGGCTCCCACTTCAAAAATAAGGATTTGCGCACAGTAGAGACCGCACTAGGACTCAGACATTCCTTCTGTACGGTTTACCATCCCCAATCCCAGGGTAAGGTGGCACAAATGAACCAGACAGTCAAACAAATATTGGCAAAAATCTGTGCACAGACCAAAATGAATTGGGTTGACGCATTACCCCTAGCCCTTATGTCCATCAGATGCTCCATAAATCGTGGAACGGGGTTTACCCCCTTTGAGCTCTAGACAGGGAGGCAATTCCCTGGCCCCCACAGGACACTGAAGTGGGGGCCGGAACAAAAGGGGGACGGGAATGCCAAAGCATATTATGATGGATTGCAAGTTCTTGTTTCAGATTTCTCCTGCCAGGTCCAAGAGGGGCAGTCACCAGCAGGCACCGGCAAGCCTCACACGACGGAGTGGGTCCTCCTGAAAGTCATCAAGAGGAAGTGGTCAGAGCCCCGGTGGACCGGCCCCTTCCAAGTCACCCGAGAGGACTTCCCACGCAGTGCAGCTGAAAGGGAAAGGAGACATGTGGTTCCACTGGAGCCAGTGCGCCGCGACACAGGAGCCAGGCAGATCCGTAGCTGTGATCCGGGAGGAGCTCGCCGGGAGAGCGCAGAGTTCTGGTTCAGAGGAATCAGAAACAACTCAGGTCTCCACAAAGGGGCAGAATAATCCCCTGACCTGAGAAGATCGGCAGGGTAGTCCACCCCTGTCTGACAGAAGAAGCAGAAGGCCTCATCTGACATCAGACCACCGAGACCAGGATGAAGACGACCAAGATAAAAAGGGGGGCTTTGGGGGGAGTTATATTACATGTGATGATTGCTTTGTTTATGATTCTAGTACTTTCCACTGACCAGACATGCGGGGCAGCAGGGACCAGGTGCGAGGACAGGTGGGGAGGACTCCTGTTGCAGTACACTCGAGGGACGAGCACAACCTTCCTTTTCGACTTATGCGATGTAATCAACTGCGGGGGTCAGAACACCTTGTACCGAGGGTATGACATCTGGCTTTGCACCAGTCCAGGATTCCATGAGGCCTGTAAGGCAGGCAGAAGCACGGGATCGCCACACTGCCCCGGGTGGGACCAAGTGGCCAAGTACACCGGCCCATGGGCTCCATACAGACCCCTCCACCATAGTAGCGGAGAATACAAATCATCGTGGGGTAACATCACTTTCTCCAGGGAGGGATACTCAGGGAAGTCAGGACTAAATCCTTTAGCCCTCTCTATGGGTGGTTTCTATGCGGGCCTAGATAAGGGAGAGGTCATATACCTCACCCTGGGCACAGATGTGAGCGGCACAGATCCCTGGGGAATCATGAGAGTGCAATTTGTCGACCTGGTTCGCAACCCTCCCAACCCCAACACCACCACTGCATCGCCAGGGGCAGCGCTCCCCCGGGACCGGTCCCAGAATGACACTCGCGTGCTGACCGTTGACTACACGCGATTGAACCCTTTGGACATCGTTGAATTGGCCACAGGGTATCAGGATAGCAACCTCTGACTGGATTGGATAACCCAGATGGCTAGGGACCAGCATATGGAGGGCTGCATGGCCTGCGCATCTGGTAGGCCACAGCTATACACTGAGCCCGCCCCCTTATATCCCTCTGACACGTGGGGATATGCCTGTGTGTTGGCACTCACCAGAGAAGCCACCCCCACGAACTGTACCACCTTAGCCTCTATTTTTCCAACAGTAGACAATAGGACCCAACCAGGTCCGTTCTCTCCTCAAAAGGGGGAGGGAGTGTATGTTTGTTTCAATTTTACGGGGATGGGGTGTCCATTGGGAGAGATTCCCCCGGACTGGTATAACGCTACAGTCCAGAATGGGACGAGCAATGTCACCATCGGTAGTTTGGCGCGGTCTGGCCTGTATTTCTACTGCGGTGGCCAACGTCTCCTGACCAGGGTACCCCCAGGGAGGGCAAGGGGTGTGTGCCATGGTCCGGTTGGGGGGCACCCCTAGTTCTCATTGGTGAGCAGCCCGTCCGACTCAATGTGACTTCCGCTGGCTCGATCGCATGACGTAGGCGCCGGCATATTCTCTTCCGCCGGAGCACTCACAATTTCGACCCGACTGCAAATTCGCCTACATACATCGACGCCATAGGGGTCCCTCGGGGAGTACCTGGCGAATTTAAATTGGCAGACCAGGTGGCTGCAGGATTTGAAAACATCCCCATCGTGGCAGCCCTATTTCCTATAACTCCCAACAAAAATGTAGACCAGATCAATTACGTGCATTACAATGTGCTCCGCCTGTCCAATCTTACCAGGGACGCCATAGAGGGATTGGTGGAGCAATGGGGGCCGACGTCCATTATGGCGGTTCAGAACCGTATGGCCCTGGACATGCTGCTGGCTGAGAAAGGGGGCATGTGTGCCATGTTCGGGGATGTGTGTTGCACCTTCATCCCTAACAATACGGCCCCAGGCAGATCGGTCACGAGGGCCCTGGAAGGACTAAAGACGCTGTCCAAGACCATGCATGAGCACTTGGGCATAGACAGCATCTGGGATGGCTAGATGGCCTTGATGTTCGGTCAGTGGAAAGGGTTAATGAGTTCTCTCTTGCTATCGCTGGCTACATTTGCTGCCATATTGATCACGTGTGGGTGCTGCTGCATTCCATGCCTGCGAGCCCTGTCCGTACGACTGATCACGTCCACCATAGAGAAACGTGATCCAAGTCTACCACACATGATGCCCCTCCTCGCCCTTCCGGACGGGGAGGAGGAGCTCGGCAAAGAAGTCTTCCACCATAAGTGGTGATCTCCTAGCGGAGATCAAAAGGGGGAGTCACAATTTCCCCAAAAGCTCTGTGCGTGCCAAAGTTAATCTATTGACACAGGCTGCGGTGAAAGTGGCTACGCAAATAATATAGGGTTGCCATTATAACCAGATAAGAAGAAACTTCCAGAGAAGGGAAACGTACTGACAGGGGCGGGGGCTGCTTGTAGAAGGGGTATAAGAAAAACGGTGAACAACAAGGAAGTCGAACTCTGGGGGGGGGGTACGGTACGTTGCAGAGTTCTCAGATCGATCTGCTGGAATAAAGATTGTTTGACTAATCAACGCCTTCGAGTAATCTCTTCTCATCCACGGACCCGGTGGAGACAGCGTACTCCAACACCTATCTGTATATTGAGACTAGTAGTCATGAGTAAATCAATATACAGGGTATACAAAAGCCAAACGTAAAAGAAACTGTCTTTTGGGTGCTGGTCTGTTGGGTGAATGGAATGCAAGGCAGGAGGTCTGGGGAGGGGGTTGTGTGCCAAGTCGAGGGACCCCTGTCCGTGAGGTCCACTCTGCTGTCTGTAGGTCCCTAAATCTTTGAGCAATAAAAGTTGGAGTGCTGGCCTCCCTTGTTATCTGTGTGTGTGTGTTTGTGTTTCAGAGCATGTGAGTGGAATTGAATGGTGAGAATTTCCGTTCCTTGCTCACCAGGCTATTGGCTCCTCCCGCTCTTCCGCTCTAATTCGCACTAAGCCGCTCCGCTCAACACCGCTCCTCGCTCCACTAAAATTTCCTCCCCCTCCAGTCAAACAGCTCCACGCTCGCTCCAATTTAAAAGAGGGACATGTCACCTTAAACTAAAGCCTTATATAATAAAGAAATATGAGCAATGGCAACATTGTCACTCAGAACAGAAAATATTTACAGTGGTACCTCAGTTCTCTAACTCATTAGAACTCGAATTTCTTAAAAGCTGAATCAACCAGTTCGAAAAATTTTTACCTAGAGCTCGATCTGAATCTCAGAAGTCAAACCATAAATGCCGACCTAAGATAACTTGTACGCGCGGGGAAATGAGTCACGCGGCATGTCTCTCAGTGGAAACAAAGGGTAACACTTCAATCTCAGCCTTGCATTCGCTGTGATAGCATCGTGCATGTTTACACTAGGTGAATACATATAGACAGTAAAAATACATTTAGACAATGATAGACAGTAACAGTAATTATTATATAATAACACATTTTTAAAAAATCTTTATTAATTATTTTAATATTAATTATAAACCATTAATACATTTCATTATAATAATATTGTCATGCCAAGCCGGGACAGAATGGAGACAAAGGCGCAGACATCAGGGTATCGGGGAATACGGGGTTTAATTACAGGTAAGGCAGGCAAAACACAGATGGACAATACAATTACCTGGCTGGGGAAACAAACTGAAACGTGGACTAAATACAGAGGACTAATGACAACAACCAGGAACAGCTGATCACATGGGGATTACACACAAGGTTACCGAGGGGGCGTGGCACACGAAAGAAACAGACGATTGGGGCAGGACACATTGTTTTTTTTAACTTTAAACATTGCATTTATACATTTATTTTCTTACTTTACAAATTACTGTTTTGATAAATGTGCTTAGATGTGTTGAGTACAGTATATGCTCTTCTTGTTTTATCCGGTTCATTTTGTGTTTAAATGCTAAAAAAAACATATTTAGGTGTAATTTTTTGGGGCCAGGAACCAA